TGCCCGCCCGCTTTTGCTTGCGGCCAGGTTTCGCTACATCGTGAGCCTGCACTCCAACACCCCCAACGCTCCTCAGTTCTGCACAGGCAAGCGTGGCGGCCCGCATGAGGCAGAACAAACTTGCGAAATCCTGCTTCTAACCAACAGCGTCAGCTATGCCATCTGTTTGGGCTGCCTGCAGCATCCCTGATCGCCCCAAACGTGGTCCTGACGGCCGCTCATGTATGTGCCCCATGCCAACACCCCACTTGTGCCCCGGCCGGCCTGCATGCGCATACTGCAGTCTCTGCCTGCCATTGCTCAGGTGACTGGCAGCCTGGTCAACCCCGGGTCTCTCTTGTTCCCACGTGCATGCGGTAAATGCCTATCTCTGTGCGTGCAGTGCCTCGTCAACGACACCACTGGGGAGCGCTCTCCTCCCGAGGACTTCCTGCCCAAGGTGCGTATTGAGACCCGACCTCAATGTCAATCCTAATGCTGTGGTGCCTGCATGCCGACCCTGATGCTGCCCTTGCCTTCCCATCTTGCTGTCTGACCTTTTTTCCCAGCAATTGCCACCTGGCTGGCCTTTATTGTCGCCTGGCCTTAAAGTAAGTATCCATTTGCTGTGCAGGTTCGCATTGGGGGCTATGCCGTGCGCAGCGACCCTGCCTCGGCGTATGAGGAGCGGCATGTCATCAAGACTCTGGTGCATCCCCAGTACAACACAGACGCCTCCAGCTCGGAGCACTGGGATAACGACGTGGCGGTGCTGTTGCTCAACCAGCCCAGTACCATCCCCCCCGTCAAGCTGATGCGATATACACGTAAGCGTTGCAGGGTATGCGAGCACTGGCACCGGTATTATTGGCAGTGCTGGTGTGTGCAGGGGCACGGGCAGGTGGTCACCTAAAGCAGCCTCGCCGTGGCGTGCATGCATGCCATCTAGATCTTTTGCGTTTAGCTTACTGCGTTTAGCTAACTGGTTGTGCGTACCTTCCTGTCTGCAGCCAAGCCCAACAACCCTGTGCCAGACTGGACCCTGCTAACGGTCCTTGGGTGGGGTTTTCTGTCTGAGGACCCAGCTTTCGTGGACAGCAACAGGCTGCAGATGGTGAGGCATGGACAGCGCTGCTGTGTGTGTGCTTTTCCTTCGTGCCTTTCCAACACATCGAGTCGAGTCGCGTGCGCTGTTCTGCTTTATCTATGATGCAGCTGGAAGTAAACCTGCTGCCGTTGGCCAAGTGTCGCATTGAGGATGACCATCGCAATTATTACACTATTTCTATGATTTGCATCAAGCGTGAGTGCTACCGCTGCCACTGTCAGTTTGTGGTGACATGTCCAGTGCTCCAGGGCACACGCGGTCATTCATCAATTGCGCGATGGCACGCCGGCATGTTGGCATGGGAACGCCAAGCCCGGCACGGTAGCGGCGGCTGACTGAGTATACTTTTACGTATTACGTAATGGCACAGCCGACCGCCGCGGCAGGCCACTTTGCACTCCTGCCTGCAATGCATGCACCCTTACATGTGCAGCCTTCTGGTATTTTCATGTGCCTGGGAGATGTGCGGGCATGGGGGCCCATGTGCCCCATGCCATTTGAGTGCCCGGCGGCGGCGCTGCCTGCCGCCGGGAGCCCGCACCAGCATCGGCACCCGTCGGCCTGGCAGGCCTAAGCTGCTAAGGATCCCCACGTCCCCCACCACGTTGTGGGGGTTGCGTGTCCGGCAGGACGGGGAGCGGGGCCAGGGTGGGGTGACCCTGGGACGCTCAGATGGGGGGAGGGTGGTCGGAGCCATGGAGAGGGTGCTCCATGGTCCACCCCCTCTCTTGATGCCCCTTGATCATGTGTGCCCCCTGCCCAAGGTCTGCTCACGCGGCCTATCATAGCGGGGTGACTGTAACACCAGAGTATCATCAATCAATTGCTCGCCTTGCTCTCTGCCTACCTGCAGGAGTCCAACAGCCGTTCTCTGGCATCTGCGGTGGCGACTCTGGTGGCCCGCTTGTTTGGGTGGGCGCTAGCGCTAAGCATGACGTGCAGATCGGCGTTACCAGCTGGCGTCGCGTACCTTGGAGAGATTTCCAAGAGGAAGGCTTTTCTCTGATGTAGGAAGAGGGAGAAGAGGGGGGAGGGGGGGGGGGGGGCAGCCCCCAGCATCCGAGTTTTCCTATCCTTCTTGTCTTTCCGAGGGAGGGGAGGGGGGCAGCATCCGAGTTTTCCTATCCTTCCTGTCTTTCCGAGACCCCCCAAGAACTGCCTGCCAGCTAAATCCAAGCATCCCCAACTCCCCAGACAGCTTAAAAACTGCGGGAGGACCCTAAAAACCGCCGCCGCCGCCGCCGTGCGTCGCCAGCCTGCGGCTGGGCGGCCCAGCCATCCTAAAAACCCTAACCCCTACACCACCTCGCCCCCAGGCTCCAAACTGAATGCCAGCTTCGCCTTCTGCACCTGCGTGCGCTGCTGGCATTCAAAGTGCTCAGCTGCACGCTGGCCACGGCCAGCAGCACTAGCAGTGCGCTGGGGCTGCCGCTGGATGCCTGCTTCGCCCCTCACCTACCGGTTCCTGCTGCTGCCGCTGCCGCTGCAGATTCTTTCCTCCCCCAACTGGTCCTTCCACGCTATGCTCATCCGCAACCCAAGCCCCAGAGTGGTGAGCGCTCCCAGGGCATGTGTGCCTTGCAGAAGCGGCTGGCACCTAACTAACGGCTGGCGTCACAGCAACAGCGCTTGAATGCGAGGGTTCCTTTTCTTCCCTCCTGCTGACCAGCAGCCCTGCCTGGCTGCCTTCTGTTGCTTTCCTGCTGCAGAAGGGCACTGTGATGCGGCGCATGGTGTTTGAATGGAAGGATCGCATCGGTGTGACCCTCTTTGAGAATGGCGGGCTGCAGGGTAAGCTCGGTGGCTGGCAGCAAGCAGCCTGGCAGCAGGCAGAGACGGGCAGGCTGCAGCCAGTCGCAGCTGTGTCTCTGCCTAGTCGGCTGGCTGCTGGGCTGATGCTGCTGTGTTCTCTCGGCCTCCTGCCTCGCAGTCCGCGTCAACGGCAAGGTGGTGCGCCCCGGGAGCTGGAGGAAGCTCAAGGACGGGAGCCTGCGCTACAGGGCCCCCCTGGTGGGTACTGCACTGGCGGGGTGCCTGCTCGCCTGACCACGCGAGTTGCTGCTGCTGCTGCACAGCTCTTTTTAGGCACCGACCTGGCCCTGTTGTCGGCCTCTCATGCCTGCCCTTCTGCCCTCTGCTTCTGCAGGCTCGCATGAACCACAAGATCAGCATCGAGCAGCCCGGCCTGCACATCCGCATCACCCAGTCCTTCTCCAAGCGCCACAACATGTACAGGCCCTGGCTGGACACCTGGGTGACGCTCACCCAGCCTCCCACCACTGCCCTGGGCGGCGTGCTGGGCCGCACCCTGCCCGGCATGCTGGCCTCCGCTGCAGGCGCCGGCTTCACCCCGATTTCTGCCGGCATCCTTTCCTCCCCCACCGCCTGAGCTCCACGCTGCCCTGGCAGCCCGCCTCCTCCCGTCGAACCCCCAACTTCCATGCGCCCCCTCCTCCCCCTTGCTACCATACCAACCTTTATTTTGAACCCACCCTTCCCCGTGACCCTCATCCTGATCACCCCTGAACGGAATATGCCCGATCTCTGATTGATGCGCCCGCCCGTCCAACACTGACTCGTGCCAGGCGCCAGCAGCTGGGCGCGGCAGGTTCGCCTGACACTCCACTCTGCACAGATCGCCTCCCCCTGCCCATCGATGAGCTGTTCAACATCTGTAAACGCTGTAACCCCAGTTAGCGGCACCGAGTGGGGGAGGTTCAAGCGGTTGGTGCAGCTGCGGGCGTGGCATGCAGCATGGCGGCACCGCTGCATGTCGGGGCGGGAAGCCGCCACTCTTTGCTCTGTGCACAGGTACCGTCGCCATGCCTCGCAGATCACATACTTCAGGCGATCCCAGGGCCCCGGCCTGCTACCGAGCGAGTGCAGAATGCTGTGCTTCACTTCCCGGTTTTAACGTCTAGCTTTAGACCATTATTTGATCTGCCCGACGCGTGCAGCTGGTCCTAGCACTTTCCACCCCGCCCCACCCCGCATCAAGCGGCCAATCCAGCCCGTTAGAGGCCCGTCGGTGCGTGAACAACACATCTTCACACCTTACAACAGCCATTGAGAGCCCCAACTGCGCCACCCGCTCCCCGCCCCACCGCCAGCAATGCCCCCGCAAGAGCCTGAGGGCTGAACGGACATCTATTCAACACAAAAAGGTATGGGGCGCTTCAGACTCGGATTTAATGCACTCAGGGCTAGATTCGGCGAGCTGAACAATGCTGGCCTGGCCCCGGCATTGCCCCATGCCGCCGCAAGCCGCCCCCGGCCGCCAGGCAGCACCGAGCCAATGGCTGCTTTGTATCAGGAGTTCAGAGTCCGTGATGATCATAGATGGATATCTGGATCGGCTGTGATGCAAGGATCAGCATTCTTGCAGGCAGATCAGCGCACTGCTGGACCAGGCTGATCGCTCCCGCCCCCGCCCTGCCCTGCTCCAGGCAGATGACGCTCGCCCGCTGGGTGGGCCTGCTGCTGCTGACCGCAGCCAGCGTGGCCTCAGCTACACAGGACAGGTGAGGCAGGCTCCATCGATCCAAGCAACTTGACCCACCGGTCTGGCCAGCAACTGCCTCGGCGCTTTGCCCTCGAAACATGCCTGGTGTGACGTGTCCGCCACCCACCTCCCTGCCGCGCGTTCCACCTGCAGCAGGCGGCTGCTGGTCGATGGCCGGGTGGTGGTGCGGGACCTGGACGACCAGGCCCTGGCCGGCAGCGGTGAGCGGTTCAGGCTGTTGAAGGTGGTGCCAGCAAGGCGCTGCCTCCTGTGCGGCACCTGCGCGCCCCCTGGTGGTATCAGCACGATGGAGTGTATTGCCGTGTTTCCCCCCTTCACCCGCCACCTCATCTGCCTGTCCCCGCAGTGCCCAGCGCCCCACTCGTGCGCGGCTTCAACGGGCGGGAGTTTTTTGCGCACCACCCTGCCAGCGCGATGCTGAGGGTGAGGCCAGGCAGAGCTGCAGCAATGGGCAGCAGTGGTGTGGTGGCTAGCGCTGGCTTGCTGGTGGTCAACGGATGGGGTTAGCAGGGGCGGGCGTGAGGGTTCTTCTTTCCAGCCAACGATGCCCCTCCCCCTCCCTGCCCGGCCCCGGCTCCCACAGATCATCTCTTCCCCCGACTTCCTCTTTGATGCCTGGCTCACGCAGCACCCCAACGCAGCTGTGGTGAGAAGGCGCAGCGCTGTGGACGGCTGCCCAGCGGGCAAGGGAACGCCGGCAGCCCGGCGGGCCCACGCAGGCTGCCGCTGATGCCTGCTCGCGCTGCTCCCGTCCCGCCACGCTGCAGAGCGGCAACGTGCTGCACCGCCTCGTGTTCGACTGGCATGACCGCATCGGGGTGTGGGTGGGCAAGGCGGGCAAGCTAGAGGGTGAGCGGGCTGAGCAGCTGCAAGGGGCCAGGGTGTGGCCAGGGCGCGGACTGGGGAGGCTTGCTGGGGCACGTGCCGCGCCTCAAGCGTAATGCACTAGCGCAATGTGCTGGCTCACCCTCGCCTGCAGTCTGGTTGAACGGCAAGCGTGTGCAGCCGGGCACTTGGACCGCAGTGAATGGCGGTAGCCTGCGGTACAATGCTCCGCTGGTGAGCAGCCTGCTGCCGTCCTGTTTAGGCAGAGCACTGAGGCTGGAGCTGGCCCTGCGGGATGCAACCCCTGGCCAGACAACGCCGTTCGCCGACATAGGCAGATGAGCAGAGCCGGCATCCCGCCGGGCGGAGGGTTCATTCATTCATTCAGCACACAGACCGGCCGCCTCTTGCTCGAGGGCGGCCCACTTTGGCCTGGGCAGCCCGGGCCGCCCTCCCCCCCGGGCGCATGTTCGGTGTTGGAGGGGTGCGCCCAGCGATAGGGGGCCCCTGAAGGCATGCGCCGAGGCCGGGAAGCGTGGTTCGGCGCTGCTGCACGCTTGGCGACTTGAACAGAACCGCGTGCCGCCGAGCTGCGGCCGCAGTTTCCGGCCCACAGTCTACGGCCGCAGCCACGGGACTCGGCGGCACGGCGTTTGGGCCCAAGCTTGCTGCCGCCGCCGCCGTGCCCGGGGGGCAGCGCGGCGGCGGCGGCGGCACGCTGCGACGCCCCCGAGCCACCGAGCTGCGGCCGTAGCTTCCTGCCAGAAGCCCACGGCCACAGCCACGGGACTCGGCGGCACGGCGTTTCGGTCCACGGCTTGCTGCCGCCGCCGTCGCAGGGGTGCTGCCTGCGGCGGCGGCGGCACGGCGTTTGGGTCCACGGCTTGCTGCCGCTGCCGCCGCCGCAGGNGTGCTGCCTGCGGCGGCGGCGGTAGCGCACGTGGCAACCCCCCGCGCTTCCTTGCTCCCATCCACCGGACCCCGTCCTGCG